GTGTGTATAGATAGATATATCAGTGTTTAATACCTTGTATTAACCAATTAACCCTCCTTTTTTGTAACCCCAAAAGGATGTCAGATTCAATATTGTGCGTTGTTAAAAAGAAGCGGTACCTTTGGAAGCTTCACCAGTCCGATTCAGCAGTTACGGATAAGGAGTTGCATTCTGGGAAACAAAGTGATATAGTCAAGACATTATCCCCAGAAAAAAACAAAAAGGACGCCAGCAGCCGGGTAGAGAACTCAGACACAAACCCACCGCAAACCCACACCGGCAACACGTGGCAGCACTCACTCCCCTCCACACAGACTGTGAAAGTGCCCCCGCTGAGCCGAACAGAAGGGCAGCAGAGCAGGGTGCTGCCCACGGAAGGGGTTAACCGGGAGGCTAAAATGCAGAGGCTGGTTGGGTTGGAGAAAGAGGCTGAGAAGCTCCGCAGCCTTCTAGGTCTGGAAATCACAAAGACAACTCAAGGAACGATGACAAATGATGACAGCGACGAAAAAAGTCCAACGCAGACGCTGGAGAAACCATCGGGACGCAAAGAGGTCGGCTGTCAGACGGACATGGCTGAGGTCAGAAACCATTTAGAACCATTTTTGCCTTTTTAGTTTATTTAAATGTTGGTTAGACTAAAATTTAATGTAGTCACATTTACTCTATCATGATTTTCTTTTGATTCTCATCATTCCTTCTTGTAATGAGCCTCTTTTGATATTTACTTTAGTAGTAGTTATTAAACACTTGAAGGACATGTAATAATAATTCTTTCTGGTTAAAGTGGCCTGAATACATTGATTTAAAGCATATATTTTCAACAATATAGAGTTTCTTCCATAGTTTCCTTTTGTCCCGTCTCTCTCTCTCGTCTCCCTTTTCTTTCCTCTCACTACCCTCCGGTCACAGCGGATAGCTGCCTGTGCCTGATTCTGCAGGAGGTTTCTTCCTGTTAAAGGGGAGTTTTGCCCTTGGCACTGTCGCCAAGCCCTTGCTCATAGAGCATCGTATGATGACGTCATTTTTTCTGATGTTGTAGGGTCTTTTTACCTTACAATATTAAGCACCTTGAAGTGACTTCTTTGTGATTGGAGCTTTAAATTTAAAAAAAGTGAAATTTGATTTGACTTGCAGAGCTGAATTTAGCTACTAAAATATATTAATCAAAGGTAATCCCAAGTATAAGGTTTGATCATCTTAATAAGTAATTGAGTGTTTTGTAATCATATGAACAAATCAAGCACAAAAGAGTGAATTATTAAGAAGAATGATAAATACTGCAATGTAATGCGATTTATTTTAAATTTAGATTTAAATGCAATCTAAATGAAAACTTTGATTATCTCCTGCTGTCTATCAGTGCTCTACTTCATCCTCTGGCCTGATTCAGGCTGCAGAACTTCACGGGTTAAAAGCTGTGAGTGAGTCCAACAACCAGCCTGAACTGAGCAGAGCCAGGAAGGAAAAGACTGACAGCCAGACGAGAACAAGACTCAGTGACACTGAGGCCCGTGAAGACAACAGGTGAGTGCGTTATACAGACATCCACATGCAGCTGTGTAGACAGGGATCCCAAGCTATATATTGATATTGTTCTAATTTGAATGCCTAATGCTTAATTTATATTTATCTTCATCTGCACAAAGTACGTGTAGATAAATTGATCGAGTATCAGTCAAGACTGTGATTTATTTCACATCAACTTGATAGGTTTTAACAGGTTTTAACAAAGTGATAAAGGAACACCTCGTAAACATCTCACTTGTAGCCTTTTACACCTATTCATACACGATACAAAAGCTCAGTTCTCCCAGAAAAAATTTTCTTGAAACAAGAAGTGAAATGTGAGCTGTTTGGGTTTCTTGCTGTAGTGACAAATCTGTTGTACGCTCAGGTCTGTGCAGGAGAATCTGCATGACATCCGCCACAACGTTGTAGTGCTTCTCACGGCCCTCCTGCCCCAGCTGGACCTGGCCGGCATCAGCCTGGACACCAATGATGTAGACAACATCCTGCAGCAGATCATAGAGGTCAACTCCCTGAAGCTATGATCAGCAGTCCAGCAGAAGTCAATTATTATTCGTTGTGTTACACATACTTACACAGTTGTGTTTGGATCAGTTAAACTATTTGTTACTTCAGTATACAATATGCATACGTTAATAATTCTCTTTCTGTTGATTTGGAGAGTAATGTCATTCCCATGTTTTTCATATTCCTGGTGCTGCATGTGGATTACGTGTATAATAATGAAGATTATAAAACCTGGTAATATTTGTGTTCCGTGTGGTAATCAGTTTGCAGTGTTAAAATAAAAGACATGTATCGAATTACTTTACCTCAGTGTCTTTCAATTTACAAAATTACAGTTCAGGTGTATAAAAAAATTGCCCTGCACTGATTACTGTATCAAGCTGCGAGTGCCAAGAGTTCTTGTTAAGCAAGAGACTGGGAAAAAGAGACAGGAGAAATGCTAAGTACTAGTTTGCAAATCGTTTTTATAAAGAGAGTTAAGAGGAATAAAAGTTGTAACTTAAATTCTTGTAGCTAACTGTCGGGGTCAAGTCACCAAGTCTGACTACTCGTACTTGTGAAGCTGTCTTGTACATATGGCAAACGGTTGTCACATCGTTTTGAATACTTGTGCAGTATAATCTTTAAGAAACATGAGCATGTTGGTCGTGATGTCAGAAAATATGAGGGTTTTTTTTTGTCTCAGTTCATCCATTAATTTTTTAACTGTTGCTTTTCATTGTTCTGCTGCTTTTGTTGTTCTTTTTTAATTAGCTATTTAAGATGCTGTACACACTCGGTTGCTGTTTTCTAAACAGGATTTGTTATGTTTGCATTAAAATATTGAAACCAGTTATTGCTCACTGCATCTCTGTTTTTAAGCTACTCGTGGGTCCAATAGTGGGATTTAAAATGGGAAGGTTTTCAGTACTTATTCTTTTTGACCACAAGGTGACAGTAAAGCCTTTCAAAGACACCTTTGGAGAGGAAGGTGGAAAATTCTTTGCTTGGTTGGTTAAGTATCGACCATCCAGGGCATACAGTAATTGAATCTTTTAATATCTTGTATTGAAACTAAGTGGCATCTGTGCAGAGTGAATGGTATTATATTACACAATAGTTTGATACAGCATTAACAACCAACCAACACACCCTGGAAATTATTTCTTTTCTGTCTCTTTGACATTTTTGTAAACACTACACAGTGCATGAAGAACGTATGAAGGGATATATTGGTGAAAGGTGTGTAGTGATAATTTCTTGTAGAGGCACAGTTTCATAATGCAGGTATTCATTTATTGCTATTGTTTGGCTATTAAACATTGGAAACCCATTAAGGCACGTTAATAGCAAAACTCTTCTTGCTTCTGTTTTTTTCTTTCTTTTTATAAAGTTGTAAATGCAGGCGGTCCATTGGTGAATGCTATTTTCAAATAGTCAAGTATACACTTACCAACCTGTTCAACTGCTCATTAAATATTGACAAATTCCATGGCAACAACTCAATGCTTTTAGGCACAAAGACATGAGGAAGACAACCTGCTGACGTTTTAAGGGATCATCAGATGGGGAAGAAAGGTTAGCTAAGTGCCGTTGTGACGGTTGTTGGAGTATTTGATAAACTGCTGATCTAGTGGGGTTTTTGCACAAACATCTGCGGGGAGTATAGGGAATGATCTGGAAAAGAGATGACAAGTATTGATGACCATGCCCATTCCAATTTCAGATGGCTTCTTCCAACAAGTTAACACACCATCTAACATTGCTCAAACTGGTTTCTTGATAATGACTGTGTACTCAAATGGCCTCCACAGTCACCAGATCTGAGTCCAATACAGTTCATTTGAGATGTGGTGCAATGGCAGATTCACATCAAGGATGTGGAACCACACATCTGCAGCCACCGTGTGATGCTATTATGTCAATTTGGACCAAAATCTCTGAAGAATTTTTCTAGTACCTTGATGAATCTATGTTGTGAAGAATTAAGGCTGTGTTGAAGGCGAAAATGGTTCAACCCAATACTTGCAAGGTATGTTAAAAGCATTGCTATTCCAATTCCACTCCACTTACCTGTTATTCATCAATATTTGCTCTTTATAAATAAGCTAAATAACAGCCTGTGCTCTTTGAGAGTGAGAGGGTACCAACTGAGACAGAAGCCCTTCCTTCAAAATCAACACCTTCAAGTTCAACTGAAATTTGCAGCTGCCTACATGGAAAAGTTAAAACACCTTCTGGAGAAAATTCTTTAGTTAGACGAAACAAAGACTGAGCTGTTGGGCTACAATGACAAGCGGTCTGTTTGAAAGAGTAAAGGTGATGCATTCAAACCTGACAGCACTGTCTGAGCTGTCGAGCATGGCGGTGGTAGCATCATGCTCTGAGGCCGTTCTGCTGCCAGTGGCAGTGGTGCATTGCACAGTGGATGAAACAATGAAGCGGGAGCTATAACTCAAATAAAAATCTAGATATCTTGAACACAACTGGGTATTTCAACAGGACAGTGTTCCCAAACATAAATCAAAGCTGGTTTTGGAATAGATAAAGCAGACTAACATTGGACTTTTGGAATGCCCTTCCTAAAGCCCTGAGCTCAACTCTGCCAAAGATTTGCAGACTATGCTTAAATTCAGGAAAGCAATGAGTTGGCATGAATTCTGCCAAAATGAGTGTTCAAATATCCAGCCAGAATTATGCCAAAAACTTCCAAAAGCATCAGTTCATGTGCGACTTACACTTTTAACCAAATGTCAGAGGCGGTGTGTGTCCGTCTGTGTACTTTCGACACTGTGTGTATTAGGAAAAATCCCCCAAAAAGTCAAACTTGTGCACCCGATTCTTGTGATTAACGAATGTGCAGTACAATCGTTCCAACCTTAAAGAAAACAAACAAAAAACTGTTTAAAGAAATCATGAAAAGCCCCAAAATACAATTGATGTCAATTATGAGTATATATGAACCTTTGTAAAACTGGGATATTTGGCTTGTGTTTCATAATTATTTATCAATAATGTTTCCAACATGGAAAACTGTTGCTGAATGTACGAGTGAGTGTGTGTATGAATAAAGCTCCTTAATTACAAGTATTTAAGAATGTGTGACTCGGGGTAACTTTCTGACTCTGGGCGCCACATGGTGTAGCAAAGTTAGATAAATCTCTTTCCTGGAACACTGTCATGTAATGTTACCACAGCAGAGCGCGCAATCTCACTCACACACTCCCCAGCCACCACAGATCCCCCGCGTGCTTGAACCTCTCAGTGACTTGGCCCCTCTCCGCCCTCCTCCCTTTAAATATCTCAGCCCACGGAAGGCGCACCAGAGCCGTGGCAGTGTTCGACCCGGGACGCCATGGAGCCGACAAGTGCGCACGCAGCGATGAGAGCGACACTCGCGCTTCTGCTGCCTCTCCTCTGCTCCTCCGTCGAGCAAGCGCAGCAGCCAGGTGCTACTGTAAGAGAGTATTATATAGCAGCTGTAGAAATCGGCTGGGACTACGAGCCTCACCCAACAACTGAACAAAGGTAAACTCTTTCTTAAATATAAGTCTGATTTAGACAAATGAAAAGACGAGCAGTCTGTTCGGTTGGTAAATAATTGTGATGATTATGTTTCCAAATGAAGAAGAAGACTTAGCTTCAGAAAAATCTGTGTCCAGTCAGTTAGGTTAGTTTTGCTTTTATGTTTTTAGCTTTTCTTTGTGTAATTTTTGTTTTGTTTTGTTTCTTTAAATTACTTTTGAATTACTAGAAGTAAATTAAATGCAGTTTTATTAAGGAAGAGCTAATAAGGATATTTTAAGTCAGTTTTCTCATAAGTTTCTCTTCATAATTTTATGCGTGTTTTTATCTTTAAGAAGGACATCCAAGGACATTCCGCAAAAATACATCAAAGCAATTTATAGGGAGTATACGGACTCTACATACACTGTTCCCAAGCCAAGACCAGCATGGACAGGTAAGTCTCCTTGTACATATTTTCAATAATCAATTAAAAAAAAAAAGCCATAAGTGCTTGTATCATACCACATTTTCTGAATGTTATATTAACATCCAAGGACAGTCAGACAATTTTTCTGAGTGGTTTGAAAAAAAAAATGAAACAAATTCAACTTTATTTGCCTGAATTGTTTGAATTCTTAAAAAAAAAATGATGTAATTTTCTTGCAGGGATTCAAGGCCCTGTGATCGTCACGCAGGCTGGTGAAACGGTGGTGGTCCACTTCAAAAACCTAGCCTCTCAGCCCTACAGTATCAGCCCTGTGGGGATCACCTACTGGAAACAATCTGAAGGTTGGAGTAACAGAATGGAAAGAATTTGTCTTGCTTTCACTCATAAACTTACTCACAAGTTGAACCTTACTCAGTAGGATTCTGTTCTTCCTCACCAAGCAGCTAGCAAAACTTGACTCAGCTTTCTGACTCATGTCTGTTTAAACATAACGTTCATTCACAAAAAAAAGCCCAGATCCTTGCTTTCCAGTACTACTTTGGCTGAGATCAACACTTTTCCGGTTTTGCTTGAGTCTGAAAATATGTTATCCGAATCAAAATGTACCCAAAAAAACTGCTTGTTAAGGCTTATTAATGGTTTGATCATGAAAACGGTTTCCTAAGTTATACAGAACTCAGGAAATAACAGTTGCCACCTCATTCCTTAGAAATTACCAAGAGAAACGGTTTTCATTATCTTGCGTGTGCAGATATTGCACTGCCTGTGAGAGCCAAACAGTCAGTCTTTAAACTTCTTGCATCTTCAACACTACCCAACCGTCAAGGATATAGCTGAATATCACTGACTTAAGAAGGTTCTTAGTGTTAATAACCCCCCTACAGATTAATGCTGCCATGGATCTAATGCAGTCAGTTTCTGTAAGCAGTTCATGTCTTACCACCAAAGGATAGATTCCTATAACTGCGCTTATCCTAATCTGAAAAGCAGCTTCTGCCATGTCCAGGAACGGGATTTGATGAAGCAGATCCAATCACTTCAGCGTCACCACAAGCCGCCACTCATCAACCACTCTATTAGCTACACCTTGCTAGTAATGGGTTAGAACCTCTTTGTGTCTTCAGAATTGGCTTCATTCAACATGTCACAGACTCAGTAAGGTGCTGGAAACATTCCTCAGAGATTTTAGTCCACATTGACTTGATAGCATCACACAGTTACTGCAGATTTGTTGGTGGCACATCCACTATGTGAATCTCCCGTTCCACCACATCCGCTCTATTGGATATTTGGTGACTTTGGAAGCATTTTGAGTACAGCAGACTCAATTTTGTGTCCAATGAACCAGTTGAGATTATTTGA